AACCATGCTGGCTGGGGAATTCTGGGAGTTGAAGTCCACCCAGCTTAAACCATGCTGGCTGGGGAATTCTGGGAGTTGAAGTCCACCCAGCTTAAAGCATGCTGGTTGGGGAATTCTGGGAGTTGAAGTCCACCCATCTTAAAGTTGCCAAGATTGAGAAACCCTGCAGTAAGTAAATATATATGTGTATTGAAAGAGTCTTCAAGCCGCATTCTTGCAGCTTGCAATCCTGCAGTCCAGGTGCTGGGGCAAGCTGGGACTCTCCAGTTGTTGTAGACCCCAGACCCCATTATCCCCAGCCACAAAGTCAATAGCAAGGGATTGAAGGAGTTGTAGTCCTAAACAGCCCCAAAGCACCAAGCGGTATGTCTCTAGTCAAAATAATTCAGAACATGCTGAAGAGAATTGGGGTGAGGGGGTGTTGGGCTAGGAGTGGGGAATCCCTGGTTCAAATCTAGGCTCAGTCGTGGAAGCTCATGGGATGACTTTGAGCCAGTCATTCTTTTTCAACCCAGCCTACCTTGCAGGGTGGTCGTGGGAAAAAAAATAAGAGGAGCGAGTCCTTTGTACGCTGCCTCAAGCTTCTGAATACAAGGCAGGATATAAATCTAAAATATAAATAATATTTGAAGATACCCCATCATTTGTGTTCCTATCTCTCACTCTAATTTCCTGATCTGTGTTTGTTCCCTCTTTGGCTGGGTTCTCACATTGAAACAAACCCTGGCTTAATGGGCTGGGTGAACCTAGCCACCTTAGCTTGTAAACTGTGGTGTGTGACTTAGCAAGATGATTGAACCCAGCCAATAATGGCTTATTCAACAGAACCCAAATGGGTTAACACAATGCATCAACTCAACCTTTTTCTCTTTGACTCTTACTTGATAAAATAAAATGTTCCCCCCCCCCCTTCCTATCTTTCTCTCCTATCTTCGTCTCTCTAAACTGGGAAGACTGACCTTTATTCCCGGGATTTTCCTGAAAATCAGCAAGCCTTACGGAAACCAAAAAAGCCTTTTGGTAGAGGGGAATTCTCTATTCAGCATTAAATGCTGCTTATCGAAAACAATAAACATAAACCTTCTTGGAAAGTTTGTCGGAGGCTGGGGATCACGAAAAAAGCACCGTTCCGCAACTACTGGAATCAGCGACAAACAACAGATCATCTGCGTTGCCTGGACTAATGCAAAAAACACACCAAAAAACAGGATGGTGTGAGCGGGGGGG